AAGCCCATAAAAACAACACATCTCATAATAAGATTCAACTACTTAGGATGGAACTTAAATTTTAGAAGCACAAACTCCAAGAAATCCCATTCAACTTGATCATAAACTTTACTCATATTTATTTTCAAGGAAAATTCACATTCGTCACTAGATTTCTTCCTCCTAAGATAACAATAAACTTTATTTGCGACAATAATATTATCATGAATAAAGCACCCAGGTACAAAGGCTCCTTGATTAGGGGAGATACAAGCATCAAGGAGAGGTCTCATGTGAGTAGTACTAATCTTAGAGACTATTTTATAAGAGAAATTACATAAACTAATGGGATGAAACTAGAACACATGTTTAAGTTTATCCACCTTGGGTAACAAAGTAATATTGGTTTCATTAACATCCTTAAAAGATAAATCCCCCTTAAAGAAATCAAAAACCTAAGAGCAAATACTCTCACTAGCCTCCTTCTAAGAAGAATGATAAATTTACATAAGAACTTGTCTAAACTTGGTGCTTTAGAGCTATCGAGACTGAAAGCTGCAGGCTTAATTTCCTCCCTTAACATAGGTGCAAGCAATTGTGCATTTATAGGGTCACTAATTCTGGCATCAATAAAACTGAGCGTTACATCCAAAAACCTTACCCCAAATGTAGTAAAAAGATTTTGAAATAACGTAGCAATATTATTAGAAATATCATCCTTCTCAGTCAACTAGCAACATGTATCATCTTTGAGGTGAAGGATATTATTGTATTGTCTCCACTTCAGAGTAGATAAATGAAAAAACCTTGAGTTTCTATCTCCTGCTTTCAACTAGCTGATACAAGATCTTTGCCACTAGTATTACTTCTCTTTATCCAGTGCATTTTCAATTTTCACAATCAATCTGGAAGCCTATATAACAAAATTCTCTATCACATCACCTTGTTTACATTCTGCAAGTTTCTTTTTTAACTCCTCCACCAACTTCTTACAATTTAGGAATTCTTTTTTACTCCACTTGATAAGTACTTGTTTACAAGCTTGTAGTCTAGTAAGAAAGTGATATAGAGTAAATAATGGGCCTACCAAATTTTTTCACCACCCTTTTTTAACAATCTCATTATAGTTTCCATATGAAGTCTAGATGGCTTCAAATCTAAAGGGCTCTCGTCTCTTGGTCCTACTATAGCAGCAATCAATTAGTAACAAGTAATGGTTGGAACCTATAGGATCAATATAAAAGACCTGTAAGTAGGGAAATTTTTCTCTAAGAAGCATGTTTCCCAATGCTCTATCAATTCTTTCTCTAATCCAATCACTGTTCATTCTATTATTGCACCAGGTAAATCTATAACTATAAAAACCTAAATCTATCAAAGCGCAATCATTAATAAAGTTTAGGAAATTAATAATTTCTTAAGTGCTCGAAGACAACCCCATTCTTTCTCATATTGAGATGCAATATCATTGAAATCCCCTACACATAACCAAGATTGATTCATACCCCTTGTAATACGTCTCACTTCCTCCTAATAAAGTTTCCTATCTCCTTCATTAGTAGGGCCATATATGAAAGTAATAAAAGAAAGAGCATCATAGCCAAATGTAGTCACACTAGCATGAATAATATTTGGAACGGAAAAAAGAATATTTAAAGATACTTCTTTAGACCACTAAATTGCTAAACCCCCTCTTATGCTAATTAGATCCATGATCCATTCTTTAGAGAAACCACATCTCCTTCTAGCCTTCCTTACTACTCATTTTTTGTTCTTAGTTTCCATAACAAAAACTACTTAAGGGGACCCCCATACCCTGATAATTCCAAGATAATATTTTCATTGTGAACTGGTGGTTGGTCCCATCCAACCACTGGCATTTTTAAATAAAGAATCTATACCTTCATTTCCTCCATTCCTATTCGAGCTCAGCTAATTTTTTGAAAAATTGATCTTAACCTGCTCAAAATCTACTCTTAAACTACTCGATCTTGCAATAGAACCCTTACTACGAATTAATTTCTTAATTGAATGATAACTACAGCATCTCTTTTTCTTTAATGTTGACTTCAAATTTAAGTTAATCTTAATTTTTTTTCCTTAATAAAGTTTAGTTTGTGTCTCTTTTTGGAATCCATGGGACTTGAAATTTCTTTCATTAGCCTTTTCAAAAAGACACCGTTCAAGCCCACCATGATAGAGGATATAGGGGAAAGACCATTAAATGGAACTATGGCTTTCTACAAATTTTCTTCTTCTATTAGGAATTCTACTATGTATTTTTGATGGTTAGCCTGGTTTATATCTATGATAGAAGCAAAACCTTTTTCTATGTTTAGTCCATGAGAATTACGCTTGAGTTGTGGGTCCAATTGAGGGTCCATTCCTACTCCTTCATTTCTTGCCACGGCTTACATGCTTTCAATAACTATATTACCATGAGTTGGGCCTACATTCAAACTACCCTCTCCTTACCTAAGCAAAATTTCCTCCCAGAGTTTCTCTCCACCTGAGCCATAACCATCCACCATATTCTCCATATCCCTCCACTTAATCACCTCATTATTATTATTTATGACTACCCTATGATCTCTACTTACGTAAGTTACGTTCTTCTAATTTTTTGAACTACCATGATTCCCTTCTTCAACCATCTTCTTTCGTTTAATTGCCTTACACTAAATTTAGCTTCCACCTAATTATAGTCATGAATTACTAGTTTATGCTCCAAAGTTCTAATCAAAGTGGTACTTCCAAGAGTCCTCCTGTTCATCAACTTCATCACCATTACAAACTTTTTCAGCTGCATCGGTCATAAAAATTCTGCAATCTCTCGTATCAAATGGTAACCCATTAGGGGTCTTTTCTTGGTCAAGGAACCTAAAATCATGCCTTCAATGGTTCTTTCAAATTCACCAAGACTCTGGCTTAAAGAAAACTTCTCATAATTTTATTAACCTTTGGGTGTTCAAACATCATGATCTCACCACAACACTTCTAAGTGTAATCACATTCTCAATTTCAAAAGCTTCTAGTAAAAGCCCATGAAATTGTACCCAAAAGGGTGAAGTATTGAAATCAATCTTCTTGTACACCATATATTCTTCCCATATCTGTAGACTTAAGAGTTGCCTTTAGATAGACCAAGGCCTTCCTTTCAAAATCCAATTGAAATCTTCTTCCTTGTCAAATTCAAATATAAACACATTCTTCTCCTCCATCTCACAAACTTCAACTTCTTTATTTAAAATTCCATCTTTTTTTATCATAAAGATCACAACAGGCTTATTGAAGTTCTTATTTGAAGATGAGGGAGAACAAACTCCATTCAAATAATGATGGTTGTATAGGCTACTAAAGAACCTCACTCAACTTTAGAGTTGTGCAAATGAGTTGTGGGCTAGTCCGTGGGTTAGTGCATTAGCGGGTTAGGTTGGACTAGCCTATTAAGATAGATGGACTACGAAAACCCAACCTAACTCATACATTGATGGGCTAGCAAGCCCGTGGGCCAGCCCGCAAAATATGATTTTATTTTTTAAAATTATAATCAATATATCATATATATATATATATATATAGATAATGATTTTTCTCATAATATTTTTTAAAATAAAATTTAAATATAAATTTATATTATTTTTATCAATGAATTTATATTTGTAATTTCAATCAATAGATGTTATGAGATTAACACATAATATATATTTAAAATATTTTATAAAAATTAATAAATAATTTATTTACAAACTATAATAAAAATTTTATTTGCAAATTGTAAGAAAGATTTACATTATTTTTCAAATATAAAAAATATAATTGGAACTTATAAATTATAAATTTAAAAAATATAGTCATTATTGTAAATTTATAAAAAAATATTATGATTAAAAAATAAATTATTTTTAAAAAAAATCGGCTAACTCGAGGACCAGCCTATTTAACCCGCGGGTTAGCCCATTTTAACATGTCATTTTTACATATTAGACTAACCTAGCCTGTTTTAAAAAATGAGCTAATTCTTTTAACCCAACCCATCAAAATTTGTGAGTTGAATAGGTTAGTCCGCGGGCTCAATCTGTTTTCTCAACTCTACCCGACTCTCACTCGAGAGGAAAGCTCTCACTTAAGAGAGAAATTACTACTTCTTGAAAACCTTGATTATATATATTGACCTTCACATGTTGGTGTGCATATAATTATAAACTATGATTTTATATATATAATCATAGAATATTACATTTAAATACGTATTGTTAACCTCCCCCCCCCCCCCCCCCAAAAAAAATCACATTGTTAACGTATGACATAAACGGGCACTCGCAGGTAACTTTTTCTTTTTTTTTTTTTCTTTATAAACACCCACAGATAACATTTTAAAATAATTTTAGTTAAAACTGTGAGAGTTTCTTTTATAGGATGTTGATACTGAATTGCTGATATGGATAGTTGTAGCTGCAGATTCGCAGTAGTTGATTTAATTTTATAGAATTCTAAAATAATTATATTTAAAATTATACTTTCTCCCTTACAAAATATAAGATATCTATTCCCAGATATAATATTAAAAAATATAAAAAAATTTAGATCTCAAAATATAATTAATGAGATTTAAAAAAAACTTTAATTAGGTGTGTAATTAATAAATTTTTTATAATACTAAATAAATGGCGTATCAATTTTTATATTTAGGCCTATAATGATAAATAATACATGAAAAAATGCATTTCCAATCTTTTTGATTACACAAAATTTTAGTTTGATCTCTTAATTCTATAAATCATTTTTTCAGTCCCCACGTTAGCATCATTATTGTTAAACTTCAATAACAAAAATGCCAATGTTGCAATTTTAAATAGTAACACGGTGCTTGGAAATTTTTTGTTAGCCTTTAAAAATAATTGACTTTTTATTTTTGTCTTTTACCAAAATTAATAACTAAAATAAAATTTGTCTAATGCAATTGAAGATGAATAATATTGAAAAAAAATAATTGCTATATTTTTTTCTATATTTACAAGACCAAATACGACTTAAAGCTTTGCTAAATGCTAATTTAATTAGTCTTGATTCTTCTCCGTTGAATGCATCAGCACACCAATCACCATATAAAAATCTAAAGCACTAAATCAGGCAGGAAGAAGAAACAAAATTGTAACTTTCACAATAGCAGAATGAGAGAGAGAGAGAGAGAGAGAGAGAGAGAGAGAGAGAGAATTCACGCAATACACTTAAAAGAATGTAACACCACTAGCACCAACACGGGGAAGGAACGAGAATTAAATTTTTTACAGTCTCACAAACATCTCTCCCCAATCTCATTTTGCGTTGAGGTCATAATCCTTTTTTTTTTCCGGGCCTGTAAGATAGTTCAGGCTAAGAATCAGATAATTCAGAAAACAACATTTCTCTTTCCCACAGCATAGCTTCTACTTCTAGGGTACAAATCTGGAGCGCTATTAACACCCCCATCTGCAAAATCATAAGGCTTATCTTCGTCAATTTTCGTCATCCCTACACTGGTGGATTTGGGCAATCCTGTTGATTCCACAGACTGTTGTTTCTGTGCCGTCGCGTGACGCTTCAGAACCAAGTCCATGTCGATTCTATCGACCATAGTCCTCGCCGACGCTGCTCTCACGAGCTCTGCGAAATCCTCGCTCTCTTCGGACCTCGAAGTGTTGGCACTGTAACTTCTAGGAAAGGCCGCGAATCTCCCAGCCGCATCCACAGGGTTACTGTAGTTCATATTGTGACCACACTTCGTTATGCTTCGCACGTAAAAATCTCGCGCTCTTCCCAGCGCTCTGAACGGTGAAGTAATGAACCTCACGAACACGTTCTGGCTCTGCCCCTTGCTCCTCATCTTAACGCCTAAAAGATGTTCGACAAATAGCTCTGGGTAAATTTCTCGGAAAACAAGAAGGCAACGCTTGATTGGGCGTAGATTGTAGAAGAAAGTGATACGAGAAGAGAAGAATGGAAATTGGAGGAGAAGATGTGAGAGAGAGGAGAGTGGTTTTGTAGGGATGAGAAAGGAGCGAGAATTGTTGATTGATGAAGACGAAGGTGGGTGTGAAACTGTGAGCAATCAACATGATGGACTTTTTCATAGCCCACCGGATTAGGAAAACGAAGATAAGTATGAAACTGTGGCAACGTGCTGGCCTAAATTCGTTTTTTTAATTTATGATTGCTGTCCATATTTGAATTTTTTGGAGGAAGAAAATAAAGCTGGATTGGATAGACTCGGTCTAATTTCAACGTTGTTTTTTGACTTTCCGTTGATGTGAATTTTAAAGTTGCTTCCACTCTAATTTCCCTAACTAAGCCGTCCCAGGGTAGTTCGATTGAAGGACAATTCGGCTGAGGCTTACGTGTAATTCACCCTCCTCCATGATTTGGGATTGACAAATACTTCGCAACGTAGAAACTATAAAGTAGTATAATATAGATGATGGATAATTATTAATACGTGATCTTGCTAATTATTTTAAGTATTTTGCCACACCGAAAGTTGTTTGAACATATAACTTGATTTTTTTAAAAATTTATTTTGATGATTGAATGGTTGTAAAATATAAATAGAAGAAAAATAAGGTGAATGTTTTGAAATTTTAAATTATTGTTTAAATTTTTTTGGGCCTGAATCCCTGAGCCGGAAAGAATCCTTGAAGGGAAGGATTAAACGTTGTCGTCATCACGACTTTAATGACAACATTATTAGAGGGTAAAGGTCGAATGGCATTTTACTTTTGAGATTTCTGTCGTGAATCAGCAGGCGCCTCGGTAACGGGAAATTAACATCTTCCACAATTTGAAGGTCATGGAAACCATATACTATATAGGAAAATTTTATGCTGTATGAGTAGTGATTTTGGGATTCTTACACTTAGATAATCTCTGAATTTGGCCTTGGAAATAAATTTTTCAAGTATATACTTATTGTTTTGTTATGAAGTTTTTTTTCTCATAATTTTCAAGATTAAAAGATATTTTTTTAACTGAAATATTCCGAAAAAAGCAATTGGTACTTTTAAGCAGCAATGACTCCTCTAATGTTTCAAACATGGCTCAATGTGACAGGAACTTAAACAAAGTTTCAAATGACGTTAATCACATGTTATTATTTTGCAAAATAGAGATATGTTCAATGATCGCTCATTATTTTTACTTTAAAAGGCATTATTTTTAAAAATATTTGTTCAATGATCACTTGAAAGGCTTCCCTCTTGACCTCTTCATTCCGGGCTTTCCCATGTTATAGAGGATTTTTTAAAGGTAAAAACATTCAACACAATTAATTATTTCAAGATTTATTAATAACTGAATTTAGAAAAGTAACAACACAAATGTATTTTCATTCTCATAAATACAGTTGTCAATTGATTTTAAAGTAATATTTGCTCATTCCTGTTTAAAAATATAAAATATTTTTTATAGATTAATTATTAAAAAATATAAGATATTTTTAATATTTCAATGTGTAATCATTACATTTGTTTCAAAAATACCCCTAATAAAAAATTATTTTATATTTATTTTAGAGTGGAGCACTCTATTAAATAAAGGTAAATTTTAAAAAAATAATATTAGTTTGGAGATAAATAACTACTTTATTAAGATAAGATTTATTTAAAAATATTTTTTATTTTTTAATGGAGGGAATATATTGAGTAAGACATATATATAATTTTTTGTTTTTTTAAATAAACAATTCCAAGAGGAAAAAATATTTTATTTTGTGCGTTCGGAATCAACGCCATCACGCTTCTACTATAGACAAATCAACAATTATACTCCACGCTAATAATTTTTTTTTTTAATTCAGGTGTTTGGTCTAGTTTATTACTTAACCATAAACCACCGATTAAAACTAAAGACTTAGTGTATATTTGACTTTCAGTTTACGGGTAACAAAAGTTCATCTGAGAAATTCAATTATTTGTTAAATTTCACAAGAACATATTCCAAATGTGATTTAAATATGCATTTAAAAGTTATTCAAATATATCCTTATTCTCTAAGTTTCTGACCACTTCAAGCAAATCCAATCAAGATATAACCATTTTACCGGAATCATGGTGTCGTTTTTTCGCTTCACAATTCACATATTACCCCCTCTGTACTGATTTGTAAGATGCTTTTTTATATTTTGTGGAGTAGTTTTATTTTTATAAGATAAAATATTTTGAAAAGAATAACATACACTTATAAACCTCACCTCAAAATACTCTTCATGGTTTAATAGAGAGAAAATGCATGAGTCTAGAGTTAATATTAAGTGAATAGTATTATTTAAAGTTTATATTTTTTTTTAAAAAAAATAAGACCCCTCAACTGCTTTCAATTGTCTTTACCAGTGTTTACAAATTTTGGAAAGATATAGGGGTATTGCGAAATGTCACCTAGGGAATGTGTCTCAAAATAACTAAATATAGGTTTAGGATAGTTTATATTTGGTAACCTCATCTCAAAACACCTGCATTTTCGTTGTACGGCTGATTTACGAGACAGCTGTCCCCAAAGAGGTCACGATGCTTTGAAGGGAAATAGGTAATACGACTGATTTTACAAGGTTTTTTTTTTTTTTTTAGTGATTTGATATTTCGTGGCGTAAGATGTATTTAAAAAATAACGATTCATTAATATAAAACATTTTAAAATTACTTTAACAACGTTACTCGTTAAATATCTTTCCATCTTTCATTTATCAAATAGAGGATATTTTTAAAAGCTGTTGCATTTTGACTAATAATAATTGGGATGTCATTGTTTGTTGGGAGAATTTTAGGTAAGTGCTATAAAAGGAAAATATTTACTAATAAATTTTAAAAATATCTAAATATTCTTTGTAAGATTTATGGATTCAATTAAAATAAAATGGATGGATGAAAAGATCAAAATTCTGTTCTATAAAATTAACAAGTACTCAATTATTATTTAACTTTACTTATTATTTGTTCACCTGTACTTATTAATTTCTTAACAATATTTATTAAATAGTTAATTAGTTAATTAAGTAATTCTATAATCTTAAAAATATTACTTGTTAATTTGTCAACATGGCTTGTTAATTATTTAACTTAATTTGTGAATCATTTACAAGACTTATTTACTCAATTTGACTAAAAATTATCATTATTAGTTATTAATTTTCTTACCTTACTTATTAATTTACCAATATTAATTGTAAATTACCTAATTTCATCTAATAATAATCATGCCAATGTCAATTATTAATTATCTAACTTTTACTTGTTATTTTATCAATAGTAATTATAAATTACATGACTTGTTAGTAATCAAATTAATTCAACTATTCTGCCATAATGTATAATTATTAATTATTAATTTTTTAATTTTACTTATTAATTTATTAATATTAATTGTTAATCATTTTTTTCTTTTGCATAAGGGCATTTTAATTTTTTCAATCACCTATTTTATTTCAGTTCAGTTCAAAAATCCTATAGTGAATTTTTATAATTTTTTGAGGTTTATAGATAAATATTCTTCTTTCTTATTCCTTAGTTGAATAACAATTCATTTTTTTATAGTTTTTTCTTATTCCGTATAACTTAGTCTTTGTTATTCTTTTAACTTAATAAACTAAAAAAAATAAGTTGTACCAAATTCAAGTTTAAGCTTTAAATTGATAATTAAGAGAAAATTTATCAACTAAAAAGTATCTTTTAAAAAATAAGATTTCAATCGGCATTTAACTGACTTTGTCAGTATTCATAGTTTTACCAAAAAAAATCTTATGAAAAGCCTTCCACGGAAGGAGGAAGTCATGAGTTGGATGCTATCCATACTGTCAAACCGATAATGCTTGACCCTTTAATTTTTAAAAAGAGAGGACAAATGGCTTTACCAAAAAAGTAAAAACTATGAAAAGCAATCGAGAGGTCAATTGATGGTATGAAAAGGAGCTGACATCCTCTGCTGCGCAAGCAGAAGATGCCCCTCCACACTCCTCGATCACTAAAAAAGAGAAACCCCAGCCTCCAAACCGTTCAAGATAACCTATTTTAAAAATATTTTTATTTTTTATTTTTTAAAATAAAAAATAAAAATATTTATTTAACAACGTATTTTTAAAAAATATTTTTAAGAATAAAAAAATAAAATATTATTTTAAAAAATAAAAAATAAAAATATTTTTAAAATATTTGAGGTTATTGTTTTAAAGAATAAAGGACAATGAGAAAAATACTTATTTTTAATATTTTTTATTTTTAAATATATTTTATAAATCATCAGTTTTTAAAATAATAAAATAAAATATTTTTAAACAGATCCTTAATTTCTGATCCCATTCTCAACTGTCTTATTCTCTCAGGTTAATGCTATCATGGAAGCTCCAATTTCAGTCGGCAGAAGAGAGAAAATAACTTACGAGTAGTTTTACTCATATTTTCTTTCTTTTTATATTTTCTATTCAACCAAACAAAGCATAAATGTGTTGGAGGGCCGTTTGGACGACTCATTGAATAGGAGGCCCCTGGTGGAGTAAGCAAGCAATTTTTTTTAGTCTAAAAGCATATATTCCCTCCATTTTTAAAATATAAATAAATTTTTTTAAAAAATTCACATATAAATAAAATCCTTATTTTTATAAAAATATTTATTATTTTCTCTTTTTACCTTTAGTCCTAATTATTAATGCACTCTATAATAAGTGAGATATATATTTACATAGATATATATTTTAATAAATACCATAGATAAAATGAAAATTTTATTTATCACTTGCTAAGTTGCTTATATTTTAAATAAAAATTAGTCAATAAAAATATTTATATTTTGATCCCAAGAAAATATAAAATAAAAATAAAACACAAGCCTATTTGAAACTACGCTCGTTTCGTTTCATTGTAAAAAACTAATCCCCACTCCTAGATTTAAGTCCATTGATTTAGTAACCTTTCTATTTCTCCCAAACAAATTAATGAACTTTGGCAAAAGAAAAAAACGATGAATTGTCTCCACTCTCCATAGAGGCTTTTTTACTAAAATACTATACACAGTAAAAAAAAGTTTCAAAATACTGCAGCATGGAAAGTATTTTCCAAAATACTACACCAGAAATCATTCATAAGATAAACGAGTTTGAGATTCTAGAGAAATCATTCTTGCCTAGGATGATTTTAGAATCCAAAATTATTTTTTTATTCCATTAAAAGTGAAATCATTCATTGCCTGAATAATTTCAACTTATTATTGCTGAATTGACGTTTTATTTTTAGTCCTTGCATTTTTTTAACTTGTGATCATTTTGTCAAAATCTTTAGAACCCCCCAGACTTAGCTTTTGCTTTTCATGCAAGAATAAAAAATTCATGGGCAATAGCTATATAAATGGTTGAAAACATGAAAAGGCATCAGATAAATTAAAGCCAAATAGAGCAAAGCTAAATAGTGTGAGATAATTTTTGCTCTTCTCATTTCATTCATAAGTTAGTGAGATTGAATATAATATTATCTGCTCTTATTTATTTAGTGTTCTAACATTTTATTCCTACACTTTTCATTCTTGCTTTATTTCCTACCTATTTCATTTATCATACTCTGTCATTTTTCTCTTATTCAGACTTTAAAGTTCTTTATTTCTATTCAATTTATCTACTACAGTTGTTGGTGTTAGTGTTGTGATCAAAGTTTTCATTTTCTTCATTTTTATCTACTTAAAGCCTTACTCTCCATCTGATTAAGGTACATTCTCTTAATAATTTTTCAACAACTTTTAACAGGACCCTCAACCTACTTTACCAAGAGTTGGGTTGCCTTATCCACAAATTTTTCAAGATAGGCCCAGCAATGGTGGCTACCCAACCACCAATTAAAAATAAAAATGTATGGAAATAAGAGTCTTAAAATTTTAATCAATCTCATTACATGTCACCTTCATCGTCATCCCTTTTCAACTTACCCACTCCTACTTAATTTGGATAATTTATTCTTTACTTGACGATCCTGCATTATTTTCTATCGAATATACTACTTTTACTTTTGTATATGGTGGACCATCAAATGAAGCATATGCCACCCCTAAACAATTGATTTCTTTAGTTAAATTATCTTAATTTGATTTAAATATGCTGACTACACGGATAAATGATACACTTGAATTTCAAGAAGAGCGGAACATACAACAAGAACAATGGTCACAGCATATGAGAAGGAGAACAAGATGTGGTACAGGGAAGTCACTATTTAAATTAAAAATTATTTATTTATTATTAATAATTTTTAATTTAATACCTCATAATAATTCCTTAATCATGTTAGTAACAATTATTATTCATCATTTTCATTCAAAATGATTACTAAATTATTATTGTAATTATAAGATGCAACTGAAGTTCATAAATCATTCCTGTCAAGAATGAGTTTTGAAGGAACTAAATTGATACATTAAAAAAGATCATTCTTAGTGCGATGAATTTTAAAAAATTATTCTCCCATTGTATGATTTTAAATATAGCATTTTGTGTAAAATTTTATTATTTTCTTTTATATTGTATAATATGTCAGTAAAACAACTGGCTTCACACTATCTGGCTTCAACTTTGCTACCGCATCTTCATGTTTTCAACCCTTTATATAACCATTGCACATGAATTTTTCATTTTCACGTAAAAAGCAAAAAGCTAGGCTTGGGGGTTTTAAAAATTTTGACAAAATGATCACAAGTTAAAAGAATACAAGGACTAAAAAAATATATCAAATCAGCAACAATAAATTGAAATCGTTCAAATAGTGAACAATCTCACTTTTAATGAAATAAAAAAATAATTTTTAATTCTAAAATCATTCTAAGCAAGAACAGCTTCTATATAACCACAAACTCATTTCTCTTATGAGCAGTTTTTGGTGTAGCATTTTGAGAAATACTTTCTATGCAGCATTTTGGAATTTTTTTTATCGTGTGTAGTATTTTGATAAAAATGCCCCTCCATAGAAGATGCTCTCTCCAATTTTATTTATAAAAAAAATTTTAAAAGTAATTTTTGATTTAAAATATAAAACATTTTGTAATAATTAAACTACATTTTTAATTTCATCTCTTTTTAATTAAAATAAAAATATTTAATGTAATTGTATTATTATTTAATATCAAAGATAAAAATAAAAGTAAATTTTACTTTTTTATGATATTAAAAAATTAATTTTTTTAAAATACATGAAGTGATCAAAAATATCATATAATAAAGATTAAAAAGTAATAAAAAAACTTATTTTTATATTTTTCTTCCACTTTCAAGCCTGCATAATTTATTTCCATGGAAGAGGCAGCCAACGTGGCAGCCTATCTGCCCCGTTAAATGGGAATTGTGGTCCGCTCCAGCAGCAAATTATTCCTCTGTTCAAAATAAAGGGATAGAAGAATTAAACCATTCTCCACCACACAGTACTACTAGTACTTTTGCAAACCATCAATCACCAAGGCCAAATTGCTCCTCCCGTTCAGAGAGCACCAGAAGACGACGGAAGCAATATAGGAAATTTGTCATGAAGATAATTGCTTCGACCTCACTGTTCGTGATGCTGCAAATTGTATGCGGGTCGAGCAATACACTTCATCCCCTGATCTTAATACCCGGTGCCGGAGGTAACCAGCTAGAAGCCAGGCTTACCGGCGACTACAAACCCACGAGCCTCCTTTGTGACCGTTGGTACCCACTTCACAAGGACCACGATGGCTGGTTCAGAATGTGGTTCGATCCCAGCGTTCTGCTTCCTCCCTTCACTCACTACTTCGCTCATCGTATGACGCTTCACTTCGAACCACATCTTGATGATTACTTTAATGCCCCTGGAGTGCAGACTCGGGTCCCTCAATTCGGTTCCACCCGCTCGCTTCTTTATCTCGATCCTTATCTCAAGTGAGTCGATCTTTTACGCTTCAGTATCGTCTTTAACTCGCGAGGCGTATTGTGACTGTAATTGTTGTGCAGGCATGTTTCGGCATATATGGCTCCGTTGGTGGATGCGCTTGAAGAGGTTGGATATGTGGAGGGTGAAACCCTGTTTGGAGCACCCTATGATTTCCGATACGGTCTTGCTGCCACAGGTCATTTGTCTCGTGTGGGTTCCAGGTTCTTGGAAGTTCTCAAGTGTTTGATTGAAAACGCTAGTTCTTCCAACGGCGGAAAACAGGTGATCCTTGTGTCACACAGCTTAGGAGGACTCTTCGCCATTCAACTTCTGAATCGAAACCCACTCTCTTGGCGCCAAAAGTTCATTAAACACTTTGTGGCTCTTTCTGCGCCTTGGGGTGGTGCTGTGGACGAAATGCTCACCTTTGCTTCCGGGAATACTCTAGGAATACCCCTGGTGGACCCATTGACGGTAAGATCAGAACAGAGAAGCTCTGAGAGCAATCTGTGGCTTTTGCCTAGTCCCAGATTGTTTGGTGGTATCAAGCCATTAGTGATCACGAAAGAAAGAAACTATACAGCATTTGATATTGTAGATTTCCTCAAAGACATTGGTTTTCCTGAAGGGGTTTATCCCTATGAAAATCGGATTTTGCCATTGATAGAGAACATTGAAGCACCGGAAGTGCCCGTGACATGTGTCATGGGAACGGGTGTGAGAACCCCAGAAAGTTTGTTTTACAGGAACAGTGATTATGATGAACAGCCTGAAGTGTTTTATGGGGATGGAGACGGTACCGTGAACATGGTGAGCCTGTTGGGTCTTCAGTCACTTTGGGAAGACAAGAAAAATCAAAGCCTCGAAGTGATCAAAATTGGAGGTGTGTCTCACGCAGAGATACTGAAAGATGAAGCTGCACTTGATATAGTGATAGGCGTGATAAGTAGACTTAATTCTAATGAAACGACTTTTGTTGCGCACGAGCAAACTTTTGTAGATGCTTATAGGCGATGATACGGAGTATCCAGTAAGCTCTATATAATGTAAAAGAGCAGAAAGCTTCTTTTGAAGAAACAACTTTGTGTGGTCTTCTCTTTTTCTTGCCGTAAATCATATGTTCTTTGTTGTTGTCCTTATTCCCGGGATTTTCTTACTATTATTTTAATTTTCTGCTACTGTGGAGAGAGCATTCAGAAATACACACACGTTATATTGTCTTTACTCAATCAGTGTCATAAGTTTGGAGTGAACAAAAGAGAGAGAAGATAGCATCGCAAGTTTCTGATTCAAGCCAGCATCAAGGCTGGCTTTTGATGGATTGAATCTGACTCGTGTGTCATGGTATTTTGTCTTATCAAAGGAATATGGATTTGGGGGATCTTGAACTGTTGATCTTAATGGTAAACGGAAAAAATTGAGGAGAACCTGTGTTCATGTTTCTAATTTCAAACCAATCTTTGACTCACAAGCCTCCTGCCTCTCGCACACTCTGAATTGTTGTGTTGCGAAAGGACGGCTTATTTTGCAAGAGTCGGTTCATTTTATTGTGATATTCTTACTATTAAAAAATATAAAATATTTTTAATTAAATCTTACCTCCTAATAAAATAGTTACTTACTTTTAAATTAATTTTACCTTTTCATATTTACCCCTATTAAATACTTTACAATAAATATAAAGTCATTATTAATAGGGATACTTTTAAAAAAGAAGAAATGATTACACATCGAAAGAATAAAAATGTCTTACATTTTTTAATATTTAACTTTTAAAAATATCTTATATTTTTTGACGAATGAAATATATATTATCTATATGTGTCAAAAGAAACCTTGCATTTTTAAAGATTGAGGAAGCCTTAGTATATAAAAGCTAAAATGAGAATTTGAGTAAGAAAGATGAATCAAGAAAAGTGAATGTGCCCATACATTATATGTAAGTGAGATGTGATGTTGGGCTTTTTTATCAAAATATTTTACAACTTCAAAAATAATTTAAAGTATTAAATTCAATGTTCAAACCTTTAAAATTTTTCAATGCATAATGGTGATTAATTATTCCATGTATTAACTTTTAAAACTTTGTAAATAATTAAAGACGACTTGTTTAAAGCTTTAACTTTTTAAAACATACAATATCTATTGATGAGTTTCTTAATCTAGATTTAATGTTTAAGTCATTAGAAACTCTAAAGATTTTAATGGTAATGTTTTACGGTGCCCAACATTTATGTGCATTTATTGCCTATATAAAGCATGCCCATAGAGTGTTTAGAATATATTGCTGTTGAGCTTTCAAGCATCCCTCTTTCATATCATGAGTTATTCTTTATTGTATGTGTATTTCTATTCTTCTAGCACCCTATTTTTTATAGGAAAGGTTTGTTTAATTTTGGAAAATTGTCACATTTAACTTGTGTGGCGGAATAACTCTTAAGGATAATATCATTTAGCACGACTCAAATCAAATTATCTAAAATAATTTCGGACACATTTATAATCTGTTGATCTAAACTTCTGAGCTCATATTTAAATTTTTATGATCTGTCGATCTACATATTACAATTACAAACATAAGGTACTGTTATTGATACTCAATTTCAATTTTTGTCAGTCTAAAAATGATTACAACTAAAGACATTTAAAACAATGCGGGCATAAGTAAACACATTTGAATAGGGAATGAAACATTTGAAGTTTTATGTATAGCTCTAGCTCTTCCATTATTGAGATGTAAATTGACCAGAGTGTAAAATTTACATACTTTTTTTTGTCAAAGCAAAATTTATGTAGTTAGCCTTGTATAATTAATATATTTTCATCTGATCAAATCAAAATTAGTAGATTTTAATGTATTAATAATATCTAGAAAAGAATTTGTTACATAATAAATAATCCACAAAAAATTTGTATGTTTTGATTTAATTGAAAACGAGCATTTTAAGCACTTCAAGTATGTAATACAATAGGGTGCTCCATGAGCATGGGGAGACAAACAAGTCTGAGAAACTAGCCTAAAGGATTGAGTTTTATGCCCATTCTATCTCGATTGTAGTGTTGTGGCTTTCAAACAAGTAAAAATGAGCACTTAGACTATCCAAGATGTCAGTAGATGCCATATGAATTTCATACAATTCTACTCCCTCTAGAGTGAACTTTTACTCTCATAATAATCATGCTCATACATATGTCACATCAAGACATATCTAGATTCCAAGTAGACATATTCACAATATACTATATTGAGTTCAAAAAAAACCCACAAACCAACATTTCCATACTCAAACCATTTTCACAATCATATATGCACACACACACATGTTAAAGACATCCTTTGGCATAATTGTCACTTTACATAAATTTTTTTAAATCACAAACACATTTATACTTATACATTTTATGGAAAAATAATAGGATAACATTTTGCAAAATTTATAACAAAACAAGAAGTGAACTAAGTTTTGATATGAAGGATTCTTCTTCTTCTTTTTATTTTCACAATCATATAGCTTAGGAGACCATTGACTATGTTGAGATTCTTCAACATAGTTTATCCTGTCCATTTCCTCTAGGTCACAATATAAGTTGTTTGTTTAAAATACTCTTTAGTATAAAATATAGGACATTGTGTAAATTTTATGATTTTCCATTTATACCCTTGCTTTTTATTTTTTGTCTTTAAATGCTCCATATTTAAGGACAAGGCACATATTACTATGAACTCTTGAAAAGGCATAAATGGAAAGATGTAGACATTATAGAAAATTAAGGTTTTAACTAATATTTTTCTAGAGTCGGTAATTCAAGTGGGCCTGTTTTATTTGGGTTGGATTCATTCAAATTAAACTTGAAGCATCATACCCTCTCAAAAAAATATATAGTTAAGCTTGACCTTAACTTTTTAGGTTAGATTTGTGCTAACCTATTGGGATTGACCAAAATTACTAACTTTATATATATATAAAACTGAAAATTCTAAAATAAGATTGAGCTTATTTAAGTCGAGTTTAATTCGTGCCAAGCTTATTCGGGTTGGGCTTAAAGTATCCTACCCCCTTACAAAAGCCTATATAGCTAAACCTGGCCTTAATTTTTTTAGGTGGGTTTGGTTTGGCCTGTTGAGCTTGACTCAGCTTACCGGCTTTACATTTTTTGTAAACCATGATTTAATTAAAAATGACATATAATGTGGTCTGAATTGGGAGTAAGTGCCAAGCGCTGACTAATTTACATCTTGCTTCTTCATGGAGTTTGCTGCTGAGTTTATTTGACTAATTTGCATTGCAAAGGTGAACTATTGATGTAATTTGGTAGAGGTTAGATTTTTTCATATGCTTATTAACTTTAGACTATGAGGTTTGAGAATGAATCCATTCTTTCCGTTGGCTGTTCCTGGTTTCGTACCAATAGAAAACTTCATGAACAACTAACTGCATACATCACTTCCACAATGCATTCATGAGCATGACTCTTACCGAGCCGTTGTACTTGAAATCCTTTTCAATCATTGTCAATATATCTTAGTTATCACTGTTATTCTTTAGTGAGATAATCTTCTTCTTCTTCTTGTATCACTGTTATTCTTGTTTAATGCATCTTTTTCTCTCTTATCACTTCTATGGAAATGAGATGGATGTTATGGTATCTTAAGTAATATTGTATTTGATAATTCATGGTATAGTGCTGATACACTTGCTGACAAACCAGACCTTGCATGTTAGTGCCGCTGGTTAAAATAACTGTTTTTGGCTTCGGTATCTCTGAATGCTTTATATAAGCTTGTATTTCATGGTATATTGGTATGTGCTCAAGAGCCGCATCAATAGTAATAATCCGCATTTTTTTCATTCACTTCGGAAGGTGTGTAGGCTGTAGCGGCATTGTAAGCCTGCGTGACTGGTAGTATGCTGAAGTTAAATAGCAGAATCATAGACTCCTGGGCCCCCCGTCTAGCATTCCTCGGGTTTTAGGCAGTTCCCAAATGAAATTCCAGAAAAACATCTTGAATGGTTGCATTGCCAATTACTTAAGGGATCTAGTCGTTCATATGCCTTCGGTACTCAGGGTAATTAATTGCTTCCATTTGAAATCTAATTACATCTCATAAAGGTTAGCCTCTGTGCAGGGAAGGATTGGCCTTGGAAATCTGGATCGCATGTTAGAGATTTTCACATAAGCAATGTCCTACCTCTTACGCATTCCTAGGCGTCACAGCTCATTCCTGAAATTGTAACGAGCGATTTAAAACCATACCTCGAAATAAACCTCTCATCCCATTACAAATCAATAAATGTGCGTCGATGTGATGGCCTTCTTTGCAAAGGGAAGCCTCTGCTCGATCAAGGTCCAAGGCCATTTCTGAATGTTGAAGATGGCGTCAGGGATCAAATTATTTGTATCTTGTTGAATAAGAATTAAGATGAATCTCCTCTCGTTCACAAGGATGGTTGTCACATGGAAGAATTTTATAACTATGAACAGGCTGATTTGTTTATTATTAGCATCTGTGAACCCTGGCGTCATGATGATGATGACGATGATTCGGTTCCACAAATTAGGCTGAACCAACTAGTCAATGATGGTTATATGTAATCCGCAATCCACTTGATGAATCATGATTATCCATTTTGAGGAATAGCATTCATCAGATTCATCATAGTTTAGGGCGACATTGATGACTGTTCTTGTCTCGTCCACACTTTAGAAGTCCTTCAGTTGCACTTTAGACATGATGACCAAAAAGGCAAAGCCGTGTTTGACACTCTCCTTTACCTTGAGCCACAGAGTTAGGTGTTATGGACAAAGTTACGCTGCAGTGGAGGACGATGTTTACATGTGAGCTTGAATTTTACACATGATGTTACATGTTGGGATTTAATAGTAAACATGCTGCCATTATATTATTAATCATGGGAGTTATTGGCTGCTCTCTCCGACTTAGTTTGACTCTTAACTCTAAAAGCATGGTATTTAGTGCCATTTCTCTCTCCCTAGGTCACCAACTGGAGTCTCATCACTTGGTTGATGACATTTTAAATTTCGTAATCCTCTGTAGATTTGATTCTCTCTCTCTTTTTCAAAAAGTGAAGATTCAGATTTGCAATGTCCAGTATCTTTTGTGTTAAGGGAGAAAAAA